CTGCCAGCTTCACCACAGCCTCACCCCACCAGCCTCCCACCAGTCTCACCCACCAGCTTTACCCCGCCAGCTTCACCCCACCAACCTCTCCTCTAGCCTCACCCCACCAGCTTTACCCCACCAACCTCCCGCCGGCGTCACCCCACCAACCTCATCCCTCCAACCTCACCCCACCAACCTCACCCCACCAACTCACCCCGCCAGCCTCACCCCACCAGCTTCACCCCGCCAGCCTCACCCTCCTCACCCCGCCAACCTCACCCCACCAGCTTCACCCCGCCAGCCTCAGCCCTCACCCCGCCAACCTCACCCCCCCCTACCATCCCGCCTACCTCACCCCGCCAACCTCCCCTGCCAGCCTCAACCCTGCCAGCCTCACCCCACCAGCCTCACCCCACCAGCCTCATCCGCCAACCTCACCCCACCAGCCTCACCCCACCAGCCTCATCCCGCCAGCCTCCCCCTCCAACCTAACTCCGCTATCAACCCCTGCCAGCCTCACCCCACCCCACCAACCTCACCCCTCCAACCTCACCCCACCAACCTCACCCCGCGTGCCTCACCCCACCAGCTTCACCCCGCCAGCTTCACTCCGCCAACCTCACCCCGCGTGCTTCACCCCGCCAGCCTCACCCCGCCAGCTTCACCCCGCCAGGCTCACCCCGAAATGTCAACTGTTACAAGAATATCGACGAAAAACTCACATTTAATTAACTCACCCTTGAGTGTTTGTGCTCTGCTTGCATGTTTGGTGTTTGTGTGTTTGAATATCCGGTGTTTTTGTGTTCGTTCGGCGTTTGTGTGTGTTTGTATGTTTGTTTAGTATGTATGTATGTATGCATGTATGTATGTATGTATGTATGTATGTATGTATGTACTGTATGTATGTATGTATGTATGTATGTACTGTATGTATGTATGTATGTTATTTTTGATTGTGTGTATGTATGTATATTTATGTTTGTGTGTTTGTACGTGTGTAAGTTAAATGATTTTGATAAGGTTTGATCATTTCTTAGTTGCTTGGAACCTGGTTGTGTTTGTTTACTTGTTTGTAGTCATGATGTTTGTTTACTTGTTTGGAATTAAGATATGTTTGTTTACTTGTTTGTAGTCATGATGTTTGTTTGTTTGGTTTTTTTGGTTGTGGATAAACTTGTATGTGTTCCGTTTGTGCAGGGTTTTGCGGGCGGGGGGCAAATAACTTGTTTGTGTTTTTGTTAGCTTGAAGGAAACCTGGTTGTTTTTGTTTGTATTGAATAAACATGTTTGTGCGTGTAAGCCACCATGCTAGGAAACTTGTTCTGTGGTTTTTCTTCCAAACTGAATTATCTGTAACTGTGTTTGGTCTGGCTAGCCTTTGTGTGTGTGTGTGTGTGTGTGTGTCTGTCTGTCTGTCTGTCTGTCTGTCTGTCTGTCTGTCTGTCTGCCTGTCTGTCTGTTACTTAGGTATACATAATTCTTAGGTATATCATAATTCTTCGTTATATAAATTTTGTGTATGCGTTATGCCATACAAATGTACAATACGTTTAAAACTTGGAAAATTATAAGTAGCAGTATTTTTAACTTATATATACTGTACGTATCTTTAAAGTGAGTAATATTATCGTTTATGATGTGATTGTCTCCTTAGCCAGCTGTTTATAATTTGTACATTAAAGTTGGCTGATATATAGTTGTTTAATTGTCTGTCTTTATCAATGGTAAATACTAGCAATTATTCCAACGAGGAGGAGGAGGTAATTAGCGAAGGACGTGAGCTAATTAGGGAGAGAGATATAGAGAGACTGTGTGTATGTGTGTGGGTGTGTGTGTGTGTGTGTGTGTGTGTGTGTGTGTGTGTGCCCCCTACCCAGGTCTCTTACCTGGGTAGGCTGTTGGTTACAGCACGTTATGGGCACAAGAAGCTGAGACTGCACCACTACCACCTAAAAGGTCAAACTGACAGAGGTAAAGTCCCGCCACTTCGCCTCCATCTCTCTCTCTCTCTCTCTCTCTCTCTCTCTCTCGTCATCCCCTTCCCACATGCTCTTCATTCCCTTCCTTTCTCTTCTCTCTACCTCCATCCTCCTTCTACATCCATTCTCATCAGTCACCCATCCTGATTAGTATCCTCTCTTCCTTCTTAGATAATCCCCTATTTCTATCTTCCTTTCAGTAGTTTTGTTTTCCTTCCTCCTTCCTCCTCCCGCTTCCTCCCCCCCACTTTCAATGCCGCCCTGATACCCCTCCCCCAACCCCTCCTCCTCTCCCTCCTTTACAGAAGCACAATACATGCACGTCCTCCCCCCCCCTCCTTCCCCTCTCAAACTAAATCCGTAGTGGCCGATCTTTCCTAATGCCGTCAACTGTTGGTATGAAGTCACATTAAAATCTTTCAACACTGTGTGTGAATCTTACGTTTCCTGATTTGAGAACTATTGGCACTACCCTCAACAATGCTGTATTGATCGTCTCTCTCTCTCTCTCTCTCTCTCTCCTCTCTCTCTCTCTCTCTCTCTCTCTCTCTCTCTCTCTCTCTCTCTCTCTCTCTCTCTCTCTCTCTCTCTCTTCCCTCTATTCCTCCCCCTCCTCTTCTTCCTCCTCCATTTCCTCGACCACTGTTTCCCACTTCCATCCCCTTCTTGTACTCTAGTTATTTTTTTTCATTTATTATTTTTTTATTTATTTTTTTTACCAGAGAGCAAGACAGTGGTTGTGAAACACGTGCGTCTCCCTGGCAGCCACAAGGTCATCAGGGTGTAGAGTGTGGCTGCCACTGTACCACCTAATGCCTTATCTTTTTCCCCTCTCCTCCTCCTCTCTTATGCTGTTAGTCCGCCCTCGTAGACCAAAACGCTGGTGTTAGGAGTCTGGGAAGTGGAGTTCCTGGGAGGAGAAGGAGTAGAGGGAGTAAGGATGGCAATCAGCTGAGTAGGGGTAACGAGGTGTGTGATAAGGATGTGAGAGGAGGAGGAGGAAAGAAGACTTATGAATTAGAGAGGGGGAGAAGAATGAGAAGGAGCAGGAGGAAGAGGAAAGAAGACGTAATACTTGGGAGGGGGAGGAAGACGTTTGGTTGAAGGAGGAGGAGGAGGAAGAGATGGAAAGAAGATGTATGAGTTAGGGAGGGGAAGATTGACGGGTTTTCCTCCGTTGCCCGGAAACTGCCCGAATACCCAGACGTCTTCCCCCGACGCTGGACTTCCCTGATACTGGCACGTCCGTTGCTCGCAAACTGTGTGTGTGTGTGTGTGTATGTGTGTGTGTGTGTGTGTGTGTGTGTGTGTGTGTGTGTGTGCCCCTATGTACGTGCATGTATACACGTACCCAAGTATGTACTTCCTGTGTTCATGTATGTAATCTTACGAATTATTTTTTTCTGTGTGTTGTACAGCCGCCCGTGTGTCCTTCATGGCCTCGCCTCTACGTGTTCCTGTATTCGGGATAGTTTATATATCTCTGTATAACCATCTATATATCTCTCTTTTTCCCTCTATTAACTCTTTATCCATTCCTGTCCAGACGATCATAGACGATAGGAAAAATGTCTTAGTGTTCCTGTGTTCGCCCGCTTGAGTCTTGTATAGCAGCCTTTCCTAATGCTCTCCTCCACTTCCTCTGATACAAACACTGTCTTCCTTATGGTGTGCCGGTAGATGCTCCGTCACTCTTGATTGGCCTCTGACATTTATCCGAAAATTCCTTTGTCTTTGTCTCGGCTGTTTGCCGTTCGAGTAGGTGGTTCAGTTGTATAGGAAGGAGACGGTGACGAACTTTTGTGAAACAGTGTTTGTGGCATTTGAGGGATTGTTTATGTTTATTATTCTAAACTGTTCTCGTTTTCACAAATTTCATTTGTGAACCAAGTTGTTCTTGTTCAATGTTCTCTTTTTGTTTTTGTTTTCATGGGATGTTATTAGGTCTGTTATTATTGTCAATATATTTTCAATGTTTCCTGTAAACATTGGAAGTATTAACATTGTTATACACAGTTACTTGTTTTTATATCCTACAGTATATACCATGTGTATATACGGCAACAGATATTATTCTACGCGCACCATAACCCTGGCAGCGTACACGTGTGTACCAACCAATGGCAGTGTACACATTCCATAATCTCTGGTACTGTACACGTACCATACCCTTTGGCACTGTACACATACTATAATCTCTGGCACTGTACACGTACCATAATCTCTGGCACTGTACACGTACCGTAATCTTTGGCACTGTACGTACCATAATCTTTGGCACTGTACACGTACCATAATCTCTGGCACTGTACACGTACCGTAATCTTTGGCACTGTGCAGTACACGTACCATAATCTTTGGCACTGTGCACGTACCGTAATCTCTGGTACTGTACACGTACCATAATCACTGGCATTGTACACGTACCATAATCTCTGACACTGTACAAGTACCGCAATCTTTGGCACTGTACACGTACCATAATATCTGGTACGGTACACGTACCAACCACTGGTAGTACAGGAGTATATACTTCCCATCACATCGTTTAGGGCGCCGGCCGTGAGGAATAACTAGTGATCATAAAAATATGGCTAAGAATATGGGGAAGGACCCCACCCCACCCTGAGCGACGCCGTGACGGAAAACGTGGAAGCAGAAAAATACGAGGTTGGATGGTATGTTGTGTAGCGGTGAGAACGGCCGGGTGTGTTATTTGTGCGTGTTGTTGGTGAGTAAGTTATCCGCTGCTGTGAGGGGGGCGGCTGAAGCTCTCGTGGCGCGACCTTGATCCCCCAACCTACTTCCTCCCCCTCCTACGGGAATCACTCTCACTCTAGTGTTGCTGTCAATGCTGGCTCTAAGCGTGTGCCTAGTTCTACCAGCTCCCTGCCACAGTAGTGGTTGTCCTCACTTTGCCCCCCCCCTCCCCTCCTCTTGTTCCCCCCTCCAGCACCACGCCCCATGCCCACATGTCCTCTCCCCCATCGTAGCCCCGCCCTCCTCCCCTGGCCGTGCGTGAGGTGGGAGCGTAGAGCGAGGCAGCGGCGTCATTCGGCCGTCAGTCCTAGCCCAGACCAGCCGCACCAAGACAGGCTCGACACGCTCGGGAGTGCCACCACGGTAGCCTGAGTTCAGACACTAACAACCCAGTCCTGTGTCCCCGAGTCCAAGCTCCTTGTTCTCTGTGTCGGCCAGTGTTGCATCCAAGTTGCCTGCCACGTCCCAAGAACTTGCAGGAAAGCTCAGCACAGACTAAAGCCTGTCTAGTGGTTCCCCTACTTCTGTCGTACAGAAAGTTTTCGTCCAACTAATACCCTGTGTGTGTTTAATCTCCCAAATCATTAACACTATTTTGTCAATTTCGACGAAAATCAAGACCAACTTGTCTCTCTCCTCAACTTGCTCATATTTTTCTACCTAAGTTCTTAAGTGTCTTCAACATAACATACTCTTATCTACAACAAGAATCCCAAGACAAGACCTGACACCGGGTGTGGCAAGTGTCCAGTGGAGAAGTGAGCCGAGCAACAGCATCAGCAGTAAGTTCGTGACGTGGACACCTTATATCTGGGTCATCCCCGCCGCGATCCTCGCGCCCTGCAGCTCAGCATCCTGCGGTGTGCTTGCCAGCACCGCCCTGGCCTAAGTGTTACACAAGCGTGAGTCTGCTCCAGCTGACCTCCGCCAGCCAAGTGGCGACTCTCGTGACGCGCCCAACTTTCACGTGACGCAACGCGTGGGTTTCATCACGGGGACAAGAGCAACTCTGCCTCTTATACCCGGCCGCGCAGGACAGTGGCTCACTGCGGTGCCCAACCAGCAGGAGTCCACCACACACTCCGCACCGCACACTCTGCTTACTCCATCAGGAAAGTGAAAGTAACAAGAGTGGTCAAGCCAGCCACGCCCCGTTCTTCACCCGATAGAAGTGTGACACCAGATTGAGAGTAACAGTCCTCCTCGACTTGAGTGTCAGTGAAGTTTGTCTAGAGGCGAATCACGTTCCCGCCCAGTGTGACGCTCGGCTTAGCAGCACAGCCTCCCGCGTCGAGCCAGTAACTACAACCTGTGACAATAGAAAGTGCCTTTAGCGTCAGCGCTGCCTGTAAAGCGCTCTGTCAGTGTCTGTGCAAGCAGTGCAGGGAGTGGAGTGTCCCTGGGAGGGAGGGAGTGAGAGTGATAAGCGAATTTTATTGTGAGTGTCAGTGATTTGTGTTAAACGTTTTCACCGATACTCTAGTGATAAAGTGTAACAACGATGCCTGGATTCCACGGCTCTAAAGTTGCTTTCCAACCGGAGATGCATATGATGCACACCCACCAGCGCTTGCGGGGTAAGGCTAGCCCTATGGTGCACCCCATGTTTGATGCCCTCAGGAGCCGCCATGCTCTGAATAGGGCCGATTACGTCCGCATGATGAAAATGCGGGAACACGGGAAGAGGATGGGTATAGATGGTGGATATCCCACGTTCGATAGCCTGAAGCTACTAGGATCCGATAACGACGCCAACTATCTGGATGTGTTCATGAGCAGGGGTGGCAGAATGCGACACTCTGGTGACGAGAACGACTCGAGGCCACGAACCCGCAGCGTCTCCCACACCTCTAAAGCTAGCAGTAAGCGCAATAGTGTCGACGTACAAAACATTAAGAAGACTTTATTGGGTAGTCTTCGTTCTACCGCCAGTGAAGAGAACCTCTACGAATCTGTGGAAGTAATTCAGTATAGGAAAACTATCGAGGCCATAGCTCGTCAGAACAAAGTCCGTTCAGTGCCAAAGACGGGTCACCCTCTATTCGACCACTTAAGGATTGAGAACGTGCTGAAGCCTCGCCGTCAGCAGCATTCTGGCGACCATCATCAACGCCGCAGCGAGGCTCACAACAGTGATGGAGGCAGTAACTCACACAGTTCCTCAGGATCTGGCGACGAGTTCGACTACAACAGAAAACCCAATTGTCGCTTTTCTCGGCGCGAGGTGCTCATGTGCTCCCAAGTGCCGGCAACAGGCGCGCCACCAGAAACACTCCAGCAGACAGGTGGAAGCTGGATCCGAATCTGATGACGACTGGGTCATTCCACGACCCAAAATCTGCAGCCGCAACCGACGGACGGGCGCCACCACCCTCATGAACCCCCAGGATGAGTCCGATAGCTCAAGTAAGTCGACGGGTCTCCGGTGACGCCCGCAATCCTCGCACCGCCCACGCTGTAACCGCCTGTCTCCTGGGGCCCGGCACTGCACGCCTCACCTGGTGGCCCCGTGCCCGCGGGCCACCCGGCACCCTTACTCCTATCCTATGTTGGAATTACGCGGCCCACGGCCCGGCTTGTAGCATGTTGGCGGGGCCATGGGCCACGCTTGGCCATGTACTGCCTCCCAGCAAGTGTGGCCCACCCTTAAGTTTGCCAATGGTTCTGCTTGCCTGTGGTGTGCGGCCCGTGTCCTCCCGGCTCATCTGTCACAGAGAGTCTCGGATGGTAACGCGTGTTACGCTGGGCAGGCTCTCGACCGTCATCCATTCTCCGGGTCTTAAGTGAGGGCCAGCTGGCCAGTGCTACCGTCATCGTGGGCAGTGACTATCACGGGCCAGCTGGCCACACGGACCGGGGAGTGGGGCGGGCCGTGTGAGTGTACACGGAGCACTGCCTGCGCCAGTGTTGTAGTCTGACACGTGTGCACCACTCACGCCGCACAACACCACACACAAAAGCTTCCTCACCCACCCACCCATCCACTCTGTACATCCCATGTACATAGTTGTACAGCTACTTCTTCCATGCATTAATTGTTTCTTTGTTTTGTGTTTGAATGTTGCAGCTGAATGTCAATTGGTTGATTAGCTTAAGTAGAGATAAGCGTATCCTACCTGGTTCTTTTTTGTATTTATCATATGTGTTGGTCCAGTGTATTCGAGGGCAGTCCTGTGTGTCTGTCCGACAGTGAACTTTGTATCAGTCGACCTGGGCATTGTGCTTCAATAAAAGAGGTAGAGAACAAAATTGTTTCATTCTCTTACCTTAATTCTTCTATGAGCATGAGAACCTTCAGTTCTTTCACCCATTACCTATCAGGCATAAGTAAGTGCCTTTCAACGAACATAATTCAGTGCCACTCACCAAGCATAAATCGGTGTCACTAACCAAGCACAGCCAGTGCCACTCATCAAGCATAAACAAGATGATCATCAGCCTTACCTCAGCAGGCGACGAGCAGCAACTCAAGGTGTAGTTCACTACCTCTTCCCCTATACCTCACACCTCCCTTTACTCTCACTCTTCATCCCGCTTGTACTAACGCGCCCACACCTTCACTGTCACTCGCCCATCAGTCATAACATCCCACACTGCCACACCCACAACCACTGTCTTAGCTACCCGTACTAACACGCCCACAATAACCTACCAAGTCATCACCCCCACACCACAGTATAACTCCCCACACCTACACCACAGTATAACTCACCACACCCACACCACTGTATAACTCCCCACGCCCACACCACAGTATAACTCCCCACGCCCAAACCACAGAATAACTCACCACACCAACACCACAGCATGTCACCACGCCTACACCACAGTATAAGTCACCACGCCCACACCACAGTATAAGCCACCACGCCCACACCACAGTATAAGTCACCACGCCCACACCACAGTATAAGTCACCACGCCACACCACAGTATAACTCCCCACTCCCCAAACCACAGAATAACTCACCACACCAACACCACAGAGAAGTCACCACGCCCACACCACAGTATAAGTCACCACGCCCACACCAGCATAAGTCACCACGCCCACACCACAGTATAAGTCACCACGCCCACACCACAGTATAAGTCACCACGCCCACACCACAGTATAAGCCACCACGCCCACTCTCACCGCCTCTACTCTACTTTTTTGTGTGCTTGTTCCCTCCATTCGACATACTTTCTACCGCACCTCTACACACACACACATAGCCTACTTAACATCCCAATCCAGCTCACTTTCACCTCTGCACCCACCTAGTTTCTCTCTCTCTCTCATACTCTCCCCCATATCACTTTCTTTCTGCCTGCACACCCACCTAATCTCCTCACACCCACTCTACACTCTCACCCACTCTCACACACTCACACCCACTCTATACTCTCACACCCACTCTTACACTTCTCACACCCATTTCCAACTTCACACTCCACTCACCTTCTCACACCACTTTCTACTTCACACCCACTTCTACACTTCACACTACTTCTACACTTCTCACACTCCACTTACTTTCACACCCACTTCTATTTCACACCTACTTCTACTCACACCTACTTCTACACTTCTCACACCCACTTCTAGCTCTCACTCTACTTTCTCTTCACACCTACTTTCTACACTCACACTCTACTACTTACACACCTACTTCTACTTTCACACCTACTCTCTCTACACTTCACACTCCACTCTACTTTCACATCACTTTTCTCTCTCTACACTCTCTCTCTATTTCATACTCTCTCTACTTTCTCTCTACTCTTTTCTTCATACCTACTTACTTACACTTTCTACTCTCTCTCACACTCCACTCTCACTTTCACACCCATTTCACTCTCTCACACCCACTCTACTCACACCACTTATTCTTCACACCCACTCCACTCTCTCTCACCTCCTCTGCTCTCACACCCACTCTCACTCTCTCACACCATCTACACTCTCACACCCTCTTACTAATCTATCTCTCTCTTACACCCACTCTACCACACCCACTCTACTCTCTCACACCCACCTCTACTCTCTCACATCCCTCTCTGCTCTCTCACACCCACTCTACTCACAATCCACTCTACTCTCATTAACACTCTACTCTCTCACACCCACCCACTCTCTCACACACCCACTCTACTCTCTCACACCCACTCTACTCTCTCACACCCACTGTACTCTCACACACCCGTCTACTCACACCCACTCTACTCTCACACCCACTCTCTACCTCTCATTACCACTCTCTACTCTCCACGCCCACTCCCACTCTCACACCCACTCTACACCCACTACGCCCACACCCAATCTACTTCTCACACCCACCCACACTCTCACACCCACTCACTCTCTCACACCCACCTACCTCTCACACCCACTCTACACCCCTCTATTTCTCACACCCTCTACACCCACTCTACTATACTCTCACACCCACTCTACTACTCACACCACTCTACACCTCACACCCACTGTACTCTCTCACACCCACTCTAATCTCACACCCACTTCTACATCCACTGTACTCTCACACCCCTCTAATCTCACACCCACTAGCAAAGGTCAGTAACTGAACTAAAGTACACTTCG